TTTGGCATAATTCAGAATAGTGTTTTGGATTGTTGAAAGATGATTTTTCCCCAATTCTCCGTAAACAAATATGGTATATCATGTCTTGGCAAAATCGAATGATATTTTTCATTTTACATGATTTTCATCATCTGAATCAAATCTCCAGCCCTTATGGTAATCTCAAAATTGTACTCCTGAAGGGTTAATAGTGAAAACAAATTAAAATTTTTGTTATACAAAATATTTATAATTTGGAAAAATGTATTGTGTATAGATGAATCCAAATTTGAACTTTCTGGTCGTAAGAAGAGCCTGGAGAAAGACTGAAAAGTAAAATCAATTGTACTGTAGTTACTAGACATTTTATTTTTTACTTTAAAAATTACAAAATTATCTGATTTTAAGGTATGTTTTAAAGAAATACTGGGTCGCCACAAATTTTGTGTCAGTAGAGTATGCTAAACTAAAAAATACTTTTAAAATATTTAAGGCTCCTGTTGTATAAAGATGATTTGTAAACGTGTCTTTCCGATTATCTTTAATATTATCCCCTCAATAATAGGGCAAAGCGCCACACAAGGCAGAGGTTTATTGAATGGGGTTGTCCTTTGGACGTCAGAGGAGAACGTATGAAGCTCAGATTATAAAGTGGGTTAAGTTTGTAGTGATCGGAGAAACATCCGTGAAGTCTGTTCCGTAAAATAACAGTTCTTGGCAAGAAGCTGTCTAGGTGGAACTTCCTTTTTATCAATTGATTACGAATGGATGGTCTTAGATGTGAAGGTCTGAAGTAGTAGAATTAATAAATGTATTTACCTAGATTTTCCATAGAAATAGCGACAGAACAAGGCTAGGTTTTGTCTGTGGTAAAAGAGTTTTAGAGTGGAAAATTATTCATCACCAGAAAGACCGTGTAGACGCTTCTGAACTGTCTCAAAACTAAAAAGTAAGGATTAGGTAGCTAAAGTCGATATTTAGAGCAATATTTCTTTTTTTTGGTTTGATCCCACTTTATTACATATCTAATAAGTCCAAATATTCTGGTCCTTTTCTAAAGTTGGACTTATATACGTAAGCTTACACCTTGATATTGCCATGTTGATTAAGTGCATAGGTGTGGACTTCGATTATTATTACAAATGGTTATTTAAAAAAAAGCTTTAGTAAATGTGATCCGTATAACGTTCCTCAAGAAGTGGTTCAAAGACAAACAGGTAGGGAAATATCCTGTATTGTTGTTGGAAGAAGAAACGGACATTTGAATGAATAAATTTAGAAAATTTAACAATTCTAATTTAATGCAGATATAAAGCGTGTCCATAAAGTCTTTTTATAATTTAAAAAAAAAAAAAAAAAAACTTAATACAAAAGCAAATGTACAGAAAAATATGAGGAAAATGTTACAAAAGGAGGAGTAGATATTAAAGTTTATTTTAACTAATTTAATACACCTCTATATGGGTACCATTAGTCACAATGGATCTAGCGAAACAAACTTGCTAATCCTTACACTACTTCGATGTGCTCCCTCCATGACCAGTATGAACGCAATACCGGTTCCCATTGAATATATACATTTTAACACAATTTTGTGGCTTCAACTAAGTACAGCCTGTCCATAAAATCACTTTACAATTTAAAAATATTACAGAATCAAATGAACTGACAATTATGTGAAAAATATTACAAAATGAGGAATAGATATTGAAGTTTTTTTAAGACTAATTTATTACACCTTTATATTGTACTGTACTGATGCGGCATTCACCCTAGGCGGATTGAGCCGGCTTCTTCCTGTTATGAGAAGAAGATTCTTGGGATAAATTACAGAAGTAGGGTACCCAGGCCTACTCGGATAACGTTCTTGCTTGCCGCGGGGTTCCCACAGACGCAGAGACAGGAACGACCAGAAGCCGCCGGTTACCGATGTAGACGCTCCTTGGATTTTCACCAGAGCCGGCGTGTTGTGTCAGACCTGTCCGCCTTGGGTGGCCCTACCAGGAACGAAGTTCCGGGCGGCATAGCTCTGACCTACCGTTTCACCCCCCCTTGTGAGGTAAGGGTTGTTTGTCAGACCTGTCCGCCCCATCTAGGTGGCTCCTACCAGGAACGAAGTTCCGGGCGGCCTTTATAGGACAGCATTCTGACACATACCGTTTACACGTATCCATTGGGAATTTTTTTTTGGATCAGCCTGTATCTTTTTCTATCTCCGGCACCCGTCTGGGCCACCTTTTTACTCCACCCGTCTGAAATGCTTCATTTAGGAACCCATGAACATGCAGTCTCCAATGTAGCACCATCTTGCTGGAAAATGATGGTTGGTTGAAGGTCATCTCGTTATGGTGCTGCCACAATTGATTTTGTAATATTTTTTTTTAAATTATAAAATGGCATTATGGACGCTCTGTTTTTTGATTTTGCATGTTTACTGAATACTCACATACTATAAAGCCCAAAAGCCAGTGTAGGTATAGAGTTACTCTATGATCGTAAGAGAAGGAAATATGAATAGATTATGATGATATGTTGGATAAATAACAGTTGGCCATAAACTTGAAGAGATTGTATTGAACAGTCTAAATAGAACTTCCTCCTTACTAATGGAATACGAAGGGAATGTGGATGATACAACTTCTACTTCACGTTATATATTCAATTGCATGTCACTCCATACTTCAATGGAGTGAAATTCATGGAACACTTTATTGCCCAGTTACTATATTTTTATGAAGAGCTTTAGAGACAAGTGGACACTTTTGAAACCACTGAAGATTGATTGGTTCGTTTTTTTTTTGTTTTTTTTACTGCTTATCAATCTTTTTAACGTTATTTAAAGCTAGAAAATATTTTTAGAAAGTAAGAATTTGTTTTGAGAGATAATAATGATTTACTAATTAACCCATAGCTTGAGTTGAAGAGGTGGATTCATTCTTTTCCCAAGAATATTTTCACCTAAATGAATATAAAAAAAAAAAAAACGACAGGAATTGAAACTCTGATCTCCGATTAAACATTCCGGGAAAAATCAGAGGGAAGTTAAGTTACGGCAGTAGGAAATGGAATGAAGCCGAGATTCCAGATCAGAACTAGCAACATTGCAGATTAAATCTTTCGCCCGGTTCGCCATCCTCCCCGGTCTTTTGAACAGGCGCAGATGTTTATCCCCCTTTTTTTGGCAGTTTAGGATAATGTTTCCTCTTCTTTCTAAAACATTTCCTTCTCTTTCACTTTCAGGAGCCCCCTGCATCTTAATGGTGTTATCGCCTTGCATGTGGTCAATTTATTAAACAAAAGTTAATCTCTTTGCTGTGTTATTTTAGATGACACGTCCGTTGAAATTTCTATGGCAGATAATGAAGAAAGGACATTTGTTACTCACAGGATATATAGAAGGCAAGAATGACAGCGGAAACAGCGCATAGCCTGCCTAACGAGTTTGGATTGATAGGTGGCCGAAAAAAGATAAAAAGAGATAATAAAAAATAAAATATCCTAAGAGCGAAAAAGGCCATCAAGATTTGCAGAGCTATGACTGCCTACATTCTGTAGGAATACGGCACATGGAATAACATTTCGCAACGTTTCGCTTAAAAACTGTAAAAAATAAAACATCGAAGAAGTCAACCGATAGACTAGTAATCGCTGCGAACCATCAGCGGAATCTGTACTCATATATCAAACGGTTTCAAAAGGTAATTGTTCTTTCAAAATACACCACCCCAGTCTTTTGTTTCCTGTTTAGGATTGGGTTTCCGGTTCCTTCTAAAGTCTATTCAACTCTATACTTTTAACACCCCCGCCTAAACTCTGAAATTTTATTTAATATATTTTTCTCAATAGCAGTAGATAGTGTCGCCTGTCGACCGGTTCTAACATCTCTCCAATCTTTTGAAAGTGAGTAGAGGTTCATCCCTTATTTCCAGTTTAGGATTGGGTGTCTTTTCATTATCTTTCACTCCCAGTATCACAATGCGTCTTAGTGGAATTATCGCCTTACTTAGAGTGAGTTGATTATAAAAGAAGGTGATGCCACAGCTTTTTCCAAAATAACATTTGCAATGTTAAAATTTTCGACTGGTTTTTAATAAATGTCCATTCCCAAAATTTAAACTGTCGTGTAGACAAAATCTTTTCAATAGCTGGGATAGAAAAGATAGATTCATACCTTTCCAAATGGTATTTGTGCGTAACATGGTGATAAATACGCAATTCCTTATATCATTTCTATTCGACGAATGAAATAATTGTGAATATCCCAATTTCGCAGCTGACCATAATCTCATGTTAATGAAAGTTTAATTTCTCATGATTATAGTCGTGGCTGTCACTGAGATTTAAATCTGATGCCATACAATCTTCCAATTCTTGGTTACATTTGTACGCTTACATAATTTTAATACACACTGAATAGATGTAACTGCATACAGATATTTATTCCTTAAAGATTTAACGGCATACATATCTGAGCGTGTATACACATATCTGCTCAGCTCTGTTAATTATATTGTATGTTTGATTTACTGTGGGAATTTTTCTTGGCAAAAACACTCCATACGTTTTTCTTTTTCTACGATATAACGAGGCTGAGACGTCAGTTATTGTGATGCCGTTCTTGGCTATTAAGGCTCTCTGATAATGAAGGGACTATTTCAAAGAAAAGATTAAAGCAAAAGGAAATTAAAAAAAAATTGGGACCAATTTAGCCATCAGCCAGCGGTCATTTTTGCATGCCAACTTTCGCTTTTTGCTGACAACTATGAACAGAGCAGATCTTAAAAGCGTGGTAATAATGAGCGGCTAAAAGCGCAACGGAAGTTGAGGTCACGTGCTTCTTTCAAGTAATAGAAATGAACGCTCGGCAAAGCAATAAGGCGAAAGAAAAAAAAAAGACAGGAGTTTTGAGAGAAAAATCGGCGTCCGGAGAAAGTGTGCTAGAAGATGCAATTGTAAGACGAGGAGGAGACGAAAAAGGGCGATTGAAGCGATGGTGAAGGAATAGATTAAAATTTAGCAGATTAAATTTTAAATAATTCCAAGGGGAAGGGGGATGAAGAGTAAAGTAATGGTTTAAAGAAACAAGGGGGAGAGAAAGAGAAAGAGAAAGAGAAACACAAAAGAGAGAGCGTGAGGAGAAAGGGAAAGCTGATAAGGGAGAAGAGAAGGAAAAAGGGGAGGGTTAAAGCGGAACGAAAGAAGAAGTGGATTGAGGAAGGGAGCGGCGAAAATGGGAGAAGACATGAAACATTTTTAAAGAGGTAGGGGTGGAGGGGAGGAGAAAATAGATGGAATACTGAGAAGGAGGAAAAGAAAGAAAAGTTGAAAACAGGAAACGAGGGAAAACGGAAGTTAAGGAGGAAAAAGGAAGAAAGTGCACTGCAGCAGCAGCAGCAGCAGCAGCAGAAGAAGAAGAAGAAGAAGAAGAAGAAGAAGAAGAAGAAGAAGAAGAAGAAAATGTAAAAAAAAGAAGAAGAGAGACGGAGGATTAATAGGAGTAAGAACAAAAGAAGAAGGATGAGATGGAGAACGAGATAAAGATGAAGAAGAAAAAGGAGAAGAAGAAGAGGAAGAAAAAGAAAAAAGATGAAGAAAAAATAAGAAAAGAGGACGAAGAAGAGGAAGAAAAAGAAGAATAAGAAAAAAAGAGGAAGAAGTGGAAGTAGAAGAAGAAGAAAAAGAAGAATAAGAAGAAAGAAGAAAAAGAGGAAGAAGAAGAGGAAGAAGAAAAAGAAAGAAGTATAAATAATAGGAAAATAAGGCGTACGTATTTTTTTAAAAAAGGTGGGGGGAGAGTCGATAAAACACAGGTGAAAAAATGTGAGGGAAAGGCTATGAAATGTATTTTAAAGGAAAATAATTTCAGAATAAAACAAATAGTGAGGAATCTCATTGCTTAATGAAATGGAGCAAAATATTCCCCAAAACCCACCCTCTCCGAAAAAAAGAGAAAATAATTTGTGAGGTAGGAAAGAATAGAAAAGAACTCCACGGTGTTCGTAAAATTGTGCCTGCAATCTATATTGAAATGAGAAAAAAAAAAAAAAACTCGGAATAACCACTTTTTATGAGACTTGAACGTCATTCAATAAACCTGCTCAAATTATTTCTTGATTCTTATATTTGTGTCAAACTTTTCATCTTTCATACTCAAATAAATTAAAATTTCTTTATGAGCAAAGCAAAAAAAAAGTATGTAATAATCCAGCATAAAAATATAGGGTTAAATATCACTGCTATCATATTTGCATATTGTGAGTTTTGCCGTGTAACGAGGATTCTTCAGCAGTGTTTTGTTTGTTGCGCGAAAAATAGATTATCGAAAAGCGAAGCTAGAATTTCGCTAAAAATTGTCTTATTTCTGCGATATGAACTTTTTTCATTACTGATTCTATCAATTAAAATCCTGTTTTCCAAAACAAAAAGTTATAAATATGGCACCTTGAGAGCGAAAGAACTCTCCTAGAAATTGAACAAAAAATCTGACAGTGGATAAATTAAAAATTAAACAGAAGGAAAATACATAGAATACTGGAAAATAAAACAGGAAGACTCTGAATGTGTTTCAATTTGCAAAAAGTTAAACATCCAAGGATTATAAGTGGAACACAATAAATAAACACATCTAAAGAACAATACATTACTGATGTTGAACAATACACTACATATAAACAATACATATTAAATGATTACATATGCTGAACAATACATTAATCAATTTTAAAATAAGAGACATATCAACAATTCTCAGGCTTATCCGATATGGACACTCATATAGACGTCATCCAATTTGTACAAAAATGGTTTCTAGCAGATGAATCTTTTAAATTTCATAGACGACAACCTTTCATTTGATGCTATATAGTGGCTCCTAAAAATCTTAAAGATTTTTACCAAATAACAAAAAATGTTCATAATTTGGAAAATTTAACATTAATTAGCACATGGAACTGGAATGTATTTTATTTTACTGATAGTACACTCAATATGAGGCCAAAGAGACACTCAAATTAGAGTGGGTTACTGAGTGAGTGAAGGTGAATTAAGAGAGTATTATGTAGAAGAATGGGATTAATATCGGTTGAAAGTCGAAGATTGTAGATTCTCAGGGAAGCATTCACCCAGGAGTAACAGTTCCGATGAACATGCTGTCTGGGTATGAATTTTGATAAAAGATCCATTTTTCGTCGCCAGTCACAAGTCTATCCAAAAAAGGTGAAACAAGTTGGCGAGAATGGAGAGAAGAGCAGATGTCAACTCTGGATTTGAGGTTGTTTTCAGACAATCCAGGAGGCACCCATTTTCCAAGTTTAGGAACTTTTCCAAATTATTGAAGATGACGATGAACAGTTGTATGGTTTGAACTGAGAACCACTGCCAATTCCTCAACTGATAAATTTTCTTCAAGGACTGCTTCAAGAAGCTTTTAATCAAACTCAAATGGACGTCAGGTTTGATCTTCATCTTCAAGGGTGAAATCTCCACCTCTGAATTTTGCAAATCATCTTCTGCAAGTTCTTTTATTCACACACTCCTCTCCATAAACTGAGTGAATGTTTCTAGCCGCTTCGGCTGCTGAGTTTCCTTTCTTGAACTCATAAAGCCTTATGTGCCCCAAATGATTCTTGGGAACTTCCATGTTAGCAGGGTTTTAATCAAACAAAATTTTATTATATTGTTCTCTGAAATAAAATTTGATTAGTTTAAATGCATGTAAACATAAAAATAATTTTCAGCTCCATTAGACATTTTAAAATACTCCTTAAATTTTGTTCATTTTAACAAAAAGGTAAAATTCGGACAGAACTTATGGGATGACCTGATAGATGACGTTCAACCAACCATCATTTTCCAGCAAGATACTGCACCACTATATTGGAGCCTGCATGTTCATGGGTTCCTAAGTCAAACGTTTCCAGACGGGTGTATTAGAAGACATGGCCCAATTCCCTGGTCACCTCGTTTAACAGTTATCCCCCCCCGTGGACTGCTTTCTATAGGGTTATGTTAAAGATATCGTGTATCAAACAAAGATACGGGGCATCACTGATCTAAAGTAAAAGATCACTAATACCATTGCCACCATTGGTAAGGCTATGTTACAGCGAACATCGCAAGGAATTGAGTACAGTTTGATGTGCTTCGTGTAACTAATGCTGCCCATATAGAGTTATAATAAATTAGTTTTAAAAACAATATCTATTCCTCATTTTGTAATATTTGTCATATAATTGTTAGTTCATTTGCTTCTGTAATATCTTTAAATTGTAAGGTAACATTATGGACAGCCTGTACTTAATTGAAGCCACAAAATTGTGTTAAAATATTTAGATTTCGGCATTAAATAAGGCATAGAGTTTGATAAATCGCTAGACAAAATCAACCAATCTATACTTAGACTTTAACAAAGACATGTATTCTCGATGGATACAATCGTAACGATGGCAAATACCATCCCGTAATAAATCATTCTGTACATTTCCGCAACTGTTGTAAAAAGAATCTAGGATAACTAAACTTGTTTAAGGTAGCCATATATATTCATTGGGAACTGTTATTGTGATCATGCTGGTCATGGAAGGAACACAATGACGTAATGTAAGGATTTCGCTAGATCCATTGCGACTTACCAGTCAGTTCGATCCTCACTGGTTGCTTCCTAATTTTGGTCTTACGCCACATCTAATCTACGCTTAGTAAATCGAAAGCATCACATGATGTAATATTAGGTTGGTGCAAAAAT